AATAACGAACTTTGTGCAGTCAAAAAGCAAAACGAAAGTCGTATAGCTGATTTAGTAAGAAACACTGGTGAAAAAAATGCAGAACTTTCCAAAGTTCAGGAACAGCTTACGCAGGTAGAAGTGAAGTACAGAAAGAATTCCTTATTTTCTTTCTTCTTTTATCATTTGCAGCACTCCCGTTCTGCTTCTCGATAAAATTTACAAGAGATGTGCATGGTAATCAGTTTTTTCTCCTTCGTAAATAAAAAAAATGTTTTATTCTGAGAACTGCATTGTAGGCGCTGAAAAGTCTCGAAGAAGAAAAGACCAGATACACCTTATATCAAGATAAAGCAATAAAAAGTGAAGGGGACTTAAAACAAGAAATTGTTAAGCTTGGGGTTAGCTTCTTTAAGTAGACGTTGCCTACTTTATATTGTAATAAGCTCTTTACTGTTTGTTGGTAACAGTTTTTACCAAGGAATGAAAAAAAGACATTTGCAGAAGGAAAATAACGACCTTTGTTCAGCAAACCTGGAAAATAAGCAGTTCGTTACTGAAACCGAACATGTCGTTAAAGAAGATAACTACAATAAAACAAAATTTTTTGACAAGAAGCTAGAGCAAGTACGTGTGAACCAGGGAAAATTCTTAGTTACTTTTTGCCATTCTCACTTGTAACCTGTACAGCAATATTCCGCCGAAGAATCAGCAGTGAATTCCTATAATATTCAATCTATATCTTTTTTGTCATATATGAAAAGCATTCAAGTTTACAGTACCAAATTTCAGCCCTTATGAGAGCTAGAGAGGAAAAAAACAAACACGCGGTTTTTAAACTTGAAATATCAGATAAAGAAGATGAGTTAAAAAATAAAATTTATAGGTTTAAAGTTAGGCTCTACTTAGTGTGAGTAAGCTTTGTTTTTCTACAGAAAGCATTTGTTTCTTTGCGGCAGTATCCTTTACCAAATACTAGAGAAGGAGATTTGTAGAAGAAAAGTGATGATCTTGGCGCAGCAAACCCGGAAAATAAGCAGGATGTTGCTGAGTTAGGAAAAGCCGTGAAAGACGATAGCGACCACGAAGCAAAATCTTTTCGATCGGGAGACGAGTTCAAGCAGGTACATATGGATCACAGAAAATCCTCATTTTGTTTTTCCTGTTCTCATTTGTAGCTTTTACTGGTGTAAGTATATTGCACTTTCTTCTGGAAGGCGTTTGCTTTTTTGCAGTATTATCGTTTAACTAAAAAACTAGAAAAGGATATTTCCAGGAGGAGAGTGAGAAGCTCAGCCCAGCAAACCAGGAAAATGAGTATCAAGTTACCGAATTGGAAATCGCCCTGAGAAACGATAACGACCAGAAAACGAAATCTTCTCAAGTGGAGGAGAAAGTCAAGCAGGTATGTGTAAATTAAAGAAAGTTCTTATTTTGTTTTTTTCTATCGTCACTTGTGCTTTCTCTTAGTGTAGGTGAGCCGCAATTTTTTTGCGGAAAGCATTTGCAATTTTGCGGCAGTAATGATGACCAAAGAACTAGGGAAAAAACTCTTTCAGAAGAAAAGTAATGATGTTCGGTCATCAACTCAGGAAAATGAGCCTCACTCTGCTGAATTGAAAGACGCCGCGAAACACGATGAGGATTTCAAAGCAAATTCTTCTGAAGTAGACCAAGAGCTTAAGCAGGTACATTTAGGTCACAGAAACTTCTTACTTTTCCTCTCCTGTCCTCACTTGTGCTCCCTAATGCAGTAGTCTGCCAAAAGATTCGTACGAAATCCTCATAATAATTGATTTATATCTTTCGTTGTCAAATGAAAAAAACGTTCTAGTTTAAAGCACGAAGTTTCAGACATTAGGAGAGCTAGAAAAGATGAAAAACGAATATGCGGCTTATGAAAGTGAAGTGTCAAAAAAGAAAGATGAATTTCAAAAGAGTATCTTCAAGCTTCAGGTTAGGCTTTTTTTTTCATAGGTAAACTGCATTTTTTCCTACAAGCATTTGCTATTTTGCAGCAGTAACGCTTACTAAAAAATTACAGAGGGATGTTTTTTAGAAGGAAAGAGACGATCTTTGTTTAAAAAGTCAAAAAAATCAGCAGCGTGTTGTTGCCCAAAACGCGGTAGGTAACGAAGTAAAGAGTGCTGAAGCAAAGGAGGAGCTTAAGAAGCGTGACGAGGAGAGCAAAAAGGTTATGCTGTTCTGTTTTCTGTCTTTTCTTCGATAGTTCTTTATTCAACAACGTAAGCTGATGAATGAAAACAGCTTAATCCTTTTGAAGAGAATTAGATAAGCTAGAAGACAGTATTAGTTAAACTTTTGTGCTGTGATAATTACGTGCAGAATGGCGGTTTGCTGAGGGAAGGAAAAGTGACATACTTGAAGGTTTGTTAGTCCTTTTTTATCTACCTTTTGGAATTTAGTAGGTGTTTTTTTTTTTTGTTTAAATGTATGGATTTTTTTGCTGTGGAGGTTAAAAAGCAAAGTTTGGTAGATAATGTCTGACAAGCATAAAATTAAAAACGTTTCTTGTAGCTTAAAAACTCTTTTGAAAGCGTAATAGTCAGTTGAAATCGTTTATTAAAATAGAAAGGTCATAAAAATAGCGTAAAAAATATTGGTGGTTCTTGCTTAACTAACATCAAAATGACTAATATTATTATGCAGTATCTTAAAAATACTCGCAACAGCGGATAACGCGTTTTCGCTATTTGTACAAGCAAGAAAGAGCCAGTGAGGAAGAGAAGGCGGTTAAAAATTCTTTTTAAATATTAAAAGAAGCTCAGATGCTACAGTTTTGGCTGACAAGAGCTTGGTCTCTATTGAAGAAGTTAAAGTTTATATGAAGAAGCTGTCAAGACTGATTTGGTTCTCACACAAAAGTATTTTATTAGTTTATAATGTACTGTACAATTTGGTTAAAAATGTTGTTCTTCGCTACCAAAAACAGCAAATAAACAAGAAAACGTGCCGGAT